GTTGAAAACGGTCAAAATTCTCCAACTCCCGCCGTTCAAAACGCGTGTGGGGCGGCTGCAGCGCATGCAGCACAGTTGCAGTTCCCGCACAGTTCTCAGCACAGCGCGGGAACATTGCGGGACTGGCGGGAACAGTTCTGGATCGTGGATATTAGTATGAACCTAGCCTTAGGAGCCGAACTGGTCTGATAGATTCCATTTCGTCATCGGTCGTTATCGGCTTATCGATTTTTTGCAAACTTTGAGTTACAGGTGTAAGAGTTGGCACAAGGGGTAAGCAGCAGTATGCGGCATAAATTAGCAATAACATGTGTATATATAAACATAATATCTGCAATCAGAGTCATCTGTAACCATTCGCGGCGATATTTGGCCAATATGTGCGATCTTAAAATTTCGAACGATTTTCATGCGGACGTGAGTTCGTCAGCTCACAGTTCGGCGACCAATGTAGGTAAAGGCCTAGTTTAAGCATGTTCTAAGAGCACTGCCTCTAATGATTTCAAATTACAAGAAGGAGCAGGTAAGTTGTCCAACAGACACGCGCAAAGGGCAGACAAACTTAGGAACTTGCGTAGTATCGCAGCATTCCTCTCAGCATAACTCTGCCAAAAGAACTTATGCTGCACAGAGGGCACTATTTCTGTAATCAGCGAGTCCGAAAACCTCTATGGGCGAAGTTTCCGGTCAATCCAAGATCATCAATATTTTAGCCAAAACCCGTCGGCGAGCTTCACAGCTTAGAACGAGAAAAAATAAAAGGTTCTGAATTCCTTGGAAAACTTGCGCATAGAGGTTATCTAACCTGCTGATCACGAAAAACACACCTGCTTTGCAAATTAGCGTCTTACTGTAGGGTTACGGTAACGAAAATTTGAGAGACATCGATTTGTTCAAAATTAAACGGCCTATCTTTCCCTATGGAAAGGGAATCCTTCGCTACTCACTAATACGTGATAATCTACGGGGACAGCACTACTGACTCATGTTTACTTGAATCGTCCATGTGTGTTCTTCGCTGAGTTACACCACTACGAATACCCGTCCTCATACAAAAATCGAGCAGATTGAAAACAGAATAGTACGAGAGTGCAATATATCAGAAGATTCATCTTGACGAGCTGAGCATCATGCTTTCTTCGGATTTGTATTTTATGCAATTTGAAGGAAGTTATGAAGAAAAAACGAAGAAAACGCGGATCGTCAGTTTTTGCGTTTTCTGTCGAATAATTAGTGTGGGTACTGTAGTTTGCCTGCTTAAAGAACTCAAACATGAAGTAAATCTATAGTTCCTTGCATTCTTGTTGTAGGCGAGATTTTGGAGGTTAGACAGGTGAGCTTAATTTAGAACGGTTTCTCTTGTCCATTCAAAGAGTGATAATAAGCAGGTCATCGGCGATGGCCGCAGCTTTCAGATGCGATTCTGTGAATTACCTCTAGCAGTAATATGAAGTTCAAATTGAGGTAGAAACGCATAACTCTTTTCCAATTCTATTCCTATTATAAGTTAGCGGCGTCTTGTTCAGGCCGAATAAGGAAAAATCATAGCGTGCAGGGATCGCGAAAACTCCCGAAAAGCAGCTAATCTCATTTTCTTTACTTAAGAGATCGGATCCAAGCCATGTGTAAAATTCCAGATTTCAGCAAAAACCAACAAAGAGAGTGGAAAGAATATCAGACTTTGGCTACATTATGATTTTGGAATAATAAACATTGGATGTCGTTCCTATGCCACGATTTCTGATCTCATCCTGTTGGTTGGTAAAATAGTGGACAACTCGTCTCCTGATACAACCGAGGAACGGCAACTTTTAGGATGCCGGAGTGCTACCACGCTTTTTTAGTAAAAGACTCCTTGATTCTTCGTCGAAAAACAATGTGAAATTTTACTCTTCAAACTTGTATTATAAAAGAGAGTTGCAACAGCTGTGACAAATCTTCCACCGAGTGAAATTGAAAAATTCTGGAGCCAAATTATGTAAAATGCTAAAATGTCTCACCATTGGATTCATGTTGAATTTAATAGAAAAACCTTGTAATCGTGTCAGAGTGTGGGCTTTATTTTGAAGGAATATTTTTTCCGCCCGTATAATAAAAAAAGCTTCTTGCAAGCATTACTCGCATTATTGTGATGTCTAAACAGTACATAAAATTCGAAAAGCATAGCGAAAACAACTTCAAATATACATACTATCGCATTCGTGAATTTCTGACTGAATCGTAGGTTGTTGTGCTTTGCACATTGGCTCAAGTTTCTTTTTTTATATAAGGATTTTGATTTATTTGGTATAAGCTTTTATTTGCATCCTGTAAACAACTTGATTATCCTGGTCAATGTGCAATGTTCTTTGAGAAGATCCCTAGATCCATTGTGAGATTGGAACGTAATCTATTTTGTTTCCTGAATTAAAGTTGAAGACATGAGGCAGCCATGTACACAAAGAGCATTAGAGATGCTCTGAATTTTTCTTTGTCAACATCATTATAACTCTGAGTCCAAGCAATGACGTCAAGAAACCTACATGCCATACAATAAATCACAAACACTATAGACTACAGAAACTTTTCTTCATATGCAACCTTCCCGAGCAGTGCGGTACGTACTCGACCTAAGTATTTGATTCCATCTGAGGTTTTGAAGAATTGCTCATAAGAACATCAAAAGTATCAAAGTTCGAGTCAAACTACAAAACAAATGTGAACTCGTAACAAGTACTTTGTACTTTTTTCAAATTCATTGGTTGTAAGTTGCTGGTATTGAGGCGCAAACTCCCAATTTGGTAATTGAGCAACATCAACGAACTGTGGTTCTAGTTTGATTTGAAGCAGAAAGATCACTGGGAAATAATTTTTACGCATTCTGATAACACCTGTTTTATGAGGGAGTGTGATACCTCGCAGTGATCTTGGTCTCATTACTTGTCATTAACATCCACTCCGTCATACGAGCAAAGAATAGAACTTGATTGCGTATGAGAATTTGCACGTGTGAGATGACGAATTACCTCTTGTGAATGACTACTGTTGAGCAGCCAGGCGTAAAACTATTTTTATAAGCAGGCATTAACAGTTTCGGTCCCCGATTATTGGAGTCGCTAGTAAAAAACAGTCAGAGAATGAAGGAAATAAAGTGAATATCCATTTTTCTAATTTGTTTATCAATTTCAAGAGAAAAAATTTGAGAATTAATGTAAGTTGCATTGAGATCCACTAGACTCTCCTTCATTGGTATGTAATACGAAGAGAAGCTCGAAAATTTTATATATTAGGTCGTTCCGAAAGTAATGTCGCTTTTTTCAAATAAACGCCACATTTCATGGAATCAAGATTTTTGAGAGACCTTAGGAGCATTCGATGCAGCATTTCATCCTCTTTCTAATGGTTCTAATTTTACTGCATAGTGTTCAATGAGCTCTCGAAAAATTACCACAATCTGCGACTCACGCTTCTTGCCATGGTCAAGTTCGGCTATTTTTCTAAATTTTTGTACCTAATCTCCGAAAAAATGCAAGTGGCAGGTAGATAGAGCAAACCCTATAGGACACAGAGTAATTTTTTCTTTTCCTTAGCTTGCTTCTAAGAGTTTCTGGAATCAATTTTTCAATGATATCAAATACCATATTTGGTCAACTTGAATCTCACAGAATAACAACCGGCAAGCAACTCGGGTGTCATTCGACGCAGCTTTTTCTCCTCTTTTTACCAGTTGTTTTTGGTTTCCAATTCATCAAGTTTTCCGAGATAAAATCATCATAATTCAGGTTTTCCAGGGCGCTTCCGGCTGTACCCGGATTTTCGAAAGTTGCTAATCTGAAGCGATAAACGCTCATTTGCTTTGTAAAATTAGTGTAGAACCATAATCCATTTTTGTAAGTTTTAAAATCTGACGATTTCTTGGTGTTTGATGCATTTGTGTCTGAGACGAGCCTGCTAAAATTCGGTGGTTCCATCAAAAAATCTATACAGAAATTATGACGAGCTCTGAAAAGTAGAAAAAAGTTGTGCTGTTTCCCGTAGGGTTTGCTCTATCCATACATAACTTGGACACCTTCCGGGGGTTGTTATAAAAATTTGGAAAAATTGTGAAACTTGACCTTCTCAAAAAGCATGGGTCGCAGATTCCGACAATTTTCCCAGACGTTATTCAATTTTGTGCGGTAATTATATAACCATTAGAAAGGGAATGAAATGCTGCATCAAATGCTACCAGAATCTCTTACACATCTTTGTTCCACGAAATGTGGCGTACGTTTGAAAAAAGCGACATTACTTTCGGAATGACCTAATAGTACAAGTGAGGAGATGGAAATATGACAGGATGCATTTTTTAGCCGTAATTTTTGATTTTCTAAAATTTTTTCTATTCAATACGGAAAACGCAATTTTCATTTTTACTATAGCTTAAATCTTGGATAGTTCTTCAAAAATTACAGATTATACCAGGTACAAAAATTGCCTCATTTTTTATTTTTGAACGACCTGGCATCCCGGGTCCCATCCCGGTTTGAAGCCACTCCATCGTGTTTGACCTCCTTGTGGCGAAACCTATCCTTGTCTTGATTCAGACTTGGATTCGTTTCCTACTTTCCTTACCATGACTTGTGACCAGCAGATCAAAATGCGCTTCACCTCTCATCCTTCATGACTATGAGGAGAGTGCATAGACATAAAAGAGATAAAAACTGAGAGATATCAGTTTATATGGCAGCAATTTTTATTGTGTCTATTTTTGGAAAGGAACATGCTGCCACCATTTCCAAGCAGTATCCATAAGAAAAAGTACTAAATACCCAGGTTACTAGGCAATTGTGTCGACCCACTCGCTTCTCAAGCTGTAAGTGAGAAAATGGCTTGTTGTGACGTTGCCATGACTACGCTGGTTAGCGGCTGTCCGCAAAGTCGTAGCAACTCCGCCGTTTCAAGGTCTTCAAACCATATCCATTGCTCTAAACAATGCTCAAATGATGTCTGCCTGTCTCCTGACACCATCCGCTCTCCGGATGGCTCTCCAGTCCTCGGATGCCGACTCTAAGGCCTCTGTAATGCGGCTGGCGCGGCTACTGGCAGCGTTTTATCTTGGATATCCATTATTTATTCCCAAACCTGGGGCATCTTATCCTTCGCTGTTCATTTGGTCGCAAATGGATAAAGATGGTAAGTGATTTTATGCAAATAAAGTTCGTTTTCGTTCAGTCTCATAGATTTTCACCAAACTGCTTAGTCGAAGATTTCAGTTTTCTGCTCACCGTAGATTCAATCCACATTTCATCTAGATCATAAAAATTTCGTTTTTGAATTTTTTGGCCATGTATATAACAGTGTGTCATTCCGACCCGTCCTCTTAACTATGATTATGAACTACAACAAATATTGAAAGGCACACTGCGTCATTTCTAAGTCCATCTGTCCTTATGAGCAGTAACCCTCAACATGAACAGCTCACTTCATTATGTCATATATTAGTCAAACAAGATACTGCAATAAATAAGAGCAGATTGTAGAATTCTACTTTTGATTTACATAATGACTATGTGCATTAAACTGTTCTACTTATGACTGCGTGCATTAAATTAGCTGCATGTATTAGATCGTTTCATAAGTTCGTAGAGTTTCGATTAACGAAATGACAAAATTTTAGCAAAAATCGGTTAATAATGTTGCTCCATTGTTGCAGACAACCTCATGCCACCAAGCCATCACATTTTCATTTCCGTTTTTTCAAGAGTCAGCGGTTTGATATCAAAAAAGTGTAACAACATTTCTCGTGTTAGAACTCCTCCTTTGTACGTCTAAAAGCTAATTTTTCTTTCAATTTTTTTTCAAAAGGTGTTCATAGTTGACGACGCATCTTTTTATACATTCATCAAGAAACCAATTAAAGCTTGCGTTATCGTGCTTCCTGCGCTTTCCTCTTGGCTGCATTATCAAAGTAAGATGTGATAACCAGAGTAAAGATGCTTGAACTGGTGTTACCCACAATCTGCGCGTGTTTCATTCCCATTATACAAACATACATGGGAGCATTATAAAATATAGCATACTTTAGAAAAGAATAATATAGCAAAATAGCATCTTTCATTTTGTATCAAATAAGAGGGCTACGTGCCATCTAGGTGATCTAAGTCAGCGATATTTTAATTTCAATTTTTCGGCTTTTTATGATAATTTTATGTGATTCGCGCTGCAAACTATTACCAATACCAATAAAAACCTATTTGACTCGTTTGTTTCCCTTTCCCACCTTCAAGGTGGTACAATCTTGTTACACACCAAACCACCATAAGAAAACTGGAATGCGGATGTTCAGCTCCTTGAGCAGCATGAACGTTTTTTCCCTGAGTTTAATATTAAAGGAGTTAGTAGATTCGCAAAGTTAGAAAAAATTTGTTTTCGTAAATCGGTGCTAGTTTGTGCCGTACCCCTGATAAAAAAGTTTCGAGAAATATCTTCAAGTTTGGCATGGAACTTGTAGAAATTGAAAATAAAGTTGTAGCTTCAAGAATTTTCTTACAAATGGGGTTTTCAACAACAACAACTTGATGCAGCCAAACTTATCGTTAGAAGAGTGAGTGCTGTGGTGAAGACAAAGATGCTATGCTGTTCCGAGGATCCACTTAGGCCCCTGCATCTGAAAAGCTATGCAGTACTTTGTTTTATTAGTGTTGAAAGTTGTTGTGAGCTTTTTGCGAGTGTAATTACGAACAATTCCCCACACTTTCTCTTCTTTATGGGTTGCCAGAAACTAAATTTGATTCTATTCTTTTTTATTCAGATTTTGTGCTGGAGGCTAAGGGACCTAAAGGTTATGTCACACTATAACATTGTTAACTAACAATAAGCTCTATGGTATTCTGCTATCCGGACCCATTTTTTCAAAATGTTCTCATAAAACACGTGCTTCAGTCTAGAATTTTTTTTTCGTAGATCATGTGACGACTGTCACCTTTTCACGTGTCAAGATAAAAATCAACGTTCGCAGCCAGTCTGACATGTTTTTTCAAAATCATTTCCGGTGAAGTATAAGTGCATTAAAAATAACTCGAAAGCTGTTCAGGGGTCTTTTATAAAAGCAAAACAGTTTTAGACGCTTACTAAAACATCTCAGTAGCTTTCAGCAGTGATTCAAAGAAATCCCGCTTTTCACATTTTTTCGTCATGAGGATTTTAGCCTTAAAAGAAATGAATGATGGCTTGAAGTATACCGGGCTGTCTTTCGTCATTTAGATGATAGAACAACGGCCAACTTGTCTGGTTTGGAAGAACCTAATTCAACAACGTCATTAATGTTTAAACTCATTCATGAAACTGTTGTTCAAAAATGGGGTCGTCTTTGGATACAGATTAAACAAACATTGATAGCTAGGCTAAACAAACTCGTGGTAAAAACCTGTTAAACATGTAGATGACCGTGGCTGGAGGTTCACTCGCCCTCCTGTGAAGTTCTACCAAGCGTACAAGAAAAGAATCAATACCCTTCGGAAGATTGGGTCCGGATAACGGAAAAATACCGGTTTTTTATGAATGGCACAAAGTAAAAAAGTGCTGTGGGACTTTTTGAGAGCGTGCCGAAGCAATGCCACAGCAAAATTTTTATGGTATGCATTTGAAAACAAAACAAAAAAGCAACAAAGCCAGAACTTGACTGTAGCAAGTACCAAAGAAAACTTTAAGTGATTTATGTAAGAATATTTCAGAGTTGATAGTTGTTAATCCAAAAATAATTATTTTTAAAAGAACGTCACATTACGACTTTCGCAAAAGCATTGATTCACAATTTCCGAATGGTTTATCTTTTCACATTGACCTATCTGATTGATCACATTGATATCTGATCTGATGTCTTGCTGATTTCTGCTTCAAGCTTTTTTTTAGTGTCTCTTATCAGAAATGACATAGTTATTTATTAAAAATGCAAATTCACTTCTATCTTAATCATCACTTTGCAAGAAGCATTGATTTCGAAAGATTTTAGATTGCCCACCTGGATGCTCACCACTAAGTCGAGATGAACTCGGACGCGAATTACCTTCGGAATATCTGCCAAGAACCCCTGCCGTACTTCTAGCACACTGTGGCTCGTTCCTAGAAGCTATTTTATTCTGTGATCACTTCAGCGACTTGCGCTCATCCTTAATGCTTAGAATATTCGTTGATCAAGTTTGCAGGTAGTTGTGTTTCTAGAATATACAGGGTGTCCCAAAAGTGTGTATCACCTGATCGTTATCGTCTCTCCTCCCAAGAAGTTTTTGCCTACCCAGCTCACTTTGTAGAGCTTCTTCAACTTAGTTTCATAGTATAAAGCGAATTATTGATCGCTGTTCTTTACAGTAGGATTACGATAAGAAGTTTGAAGAGGGACCTGAGCTGCGAGGGCCAGGTTTTACCTTCGAAAGGAAGCAAAAGGACTTGGAACTCCAACATCAGGCCAATTAGAGTTGCTGATTCTAATTATGAAGTTTGGTTCTTGAAGTAGGATGCAATAGAAGCTGTTTTTTTGATGTTCTCAAAAACTTTGATCACAGCGTCTGAAAGGTCTCACCATTCTGTAAAAATCAGCATGCTCAATCATTAAAATCAGCATGCTTGAAACCCTTTACACATGTTTTCAGGGTTTTTTGGAATTTTTCTAAAATGACCTATTTTACACAATGGCGCTATGTGCCGAAAGCTCCTACCGTAATCCTACAGTAATGAAGGATCACTGGTGATTCACTCCATACTGGATATTTAAGATGAAATCAGCTCTACAAGACCATATCTGAAAATATAGAAAAGAATTTTTGGGAAGAGAGATATCAGCGATGAAATTGTAGGATACACACTTTGAGACACCTCGTAAACTATCAATTTGTCTGTGTTTATTGCGATTTTTCTAGATTGCAGAAATTCTTAATGATTGATTATAAATTAAATTCATTCTAGTTTGGATCTTACATCAAGTTTTCTGGAAGATTTGCGGACACAGCAGCTACAGAAGCAAGTTCAGCTGACGGCTGCTGGAGCAAGTGCGCCATCCGCAGCTATGGCTCTAGGTCACCGATATGTACAGGTAGCAGATTTTTTCATACCTTCTTTTTCAACCATTCCGCTTTTCTTGCAGTCGATGCTAGAACTAGAGATTCTCTATGAAACCGATGATTTGCACAAGATGCAGATGTTTATTCTATCCCAGCTGGAAGTATTGTTTGCTCAACTACCTCTTCAGGTCCAGGACACCTCTGTTGTAAGTTCTCCAGGGAGCATTCCATTGAAGTTGCTTTTGAGCAAATCAAGAGTTCCTGATTTAAGTTGCCTCGTCCTCCTGTATACTGCTATCAACACAGCGGTGATGAATCGCTGGAATCTCAAATTCACTCAACGATGCACTCCTATCTGCAGGCGTTGTTAATATCAATACAGAAGACCAATAGAATGGATACGGAGATCAACAGGGTGCACGAGATGATTGACAACGGAGCTTCTGCGGTAAGCACAATGAACTTTGTCACAGCCCTGGGGCTGGAAAGTAAAAATTATTCGAAAACCTTTAGGTGGCAATACGTTGTGAGAGTCTGAATAAAAAGTTTTACTCAGATATTTACTTTACAAGGAATTTAATCGACCTGCACACTCTACAAACAATTTGAAGGCAGCGTCCAGGCAAATCTGGACACATGAGATCTCACGTGGATAGTAATTTTGGGGCCTTAACTAAGCCAGTGCCAAACCGACAACTCAGGTAGTGCTCTAACGGCTAAGATATTTTCCTCGAAACTGTCCCCCCGGATCGCATTTCGCATGGTTTCAAGGCGCAATCCGTGGGTTTTCGCGCGAAACTGCCATGAATCCATGCGAAATACGATTGTGAGGTCCATTTTGGAGGCGTATAACTCAGCCATTAGTGATTGACCTGCGCTGTCGCTTGAGCAGTGCCCCGAGGGCCCCAAAGTTACTTTCCACGTAAAATTCCCATTGCTCCAGATTTGCTTAGACGCTGCCTTTAATGAGATAAATCTCATTTGGGAATTATATGATCGTGCTTCCTCCAGGTACATTTCAAGAATTAGACCTGCAAAAGATAACTGAAAATGCGTTTGACTGATGGCCATAGAAAACCATCCCTTACTTTTTTCTTTCTTCAGAAACATGTTGCATTTGCTCCGTATTTTTCTGGAGCGAATTTCCTTAGTTTTTTGAGCAATGCTTGGCAGAAAGTAAAAATATGTCAAAGTAAGGTGAGTATATTTTCAGCATTCATCCACTTCCTTTTCCTCTTCTTTACTCGTTCAAGCTCTTCTATTAGTGCTTCGTACAATCTACCGAGATGCATTCAGTCTAGCTGCGGTTGAGCATTGGGTAAGTTTGGTAAACACGCCATTCGCATTTGATTCTAACCATTTTTGGTGTACTTGAAACAATTCCAACCTTCCTTCAGAAATACGAGTTATCGTGAAAGGCAACAGCTCAAGCTAAACTTTATTGAATTTCCTGTAATCAAAATTCAAATTCTACGAATTTTTTGGCTTTTTTAAAAACCAGTGATCGTTCTGCAATCTGTATATCCATGTCGTACATATGCTATACGTCAAAAATTTTTCTAGCAGATCTCTGAAACCTCCATAAACGTCAACTGAAACAATTTAAATGAATTTTGCCAATTCAGGATAACCTACCAGAACTCGCTGAAAAGTATAACGCGCTCATTTCTGCCGAAAGTAGCGAAGAAAATAACAACATAAAATCGTAAGTGTACAACGATTCCTTTCAATTAATTTCCAGTATGCCATAAAACCGCTTTCAGATGGCTTGCAACTGTCTCTTCGCTTGATCTCGAGCACATTAGCAGATTTTTAGCTTTTATTAGCGAAAATTTTCCCTCCAAGGTTGGTGGTTATCAAAAATAATTTTTTTCAGTCTTGTTCATTCTAGAACGATCTTCCGCCACTTACATGCCTCACTCGGGAAGTTTGGCGTGAGGGAATGTTGCCGAAGCAGAGTCGAGCGCCAAAGAGGACAGATTGGCTGTCTGGAGTCATATTAACTGCTCATAAGGTTAGTGTAATTTTGTGAGATATGAAATTTTACTTGAGACAAGTTCATATGGGGGCTTCCAAAAAATTCAGTGAAAGTGATGGTAATTTTGCAGGTGCCCCGAATCGTCTACGACAAGATGACGTTTGTAGCCACTGAATGGACTTCTCCCCTCGCTCTCGATTCCTCTTTGATTCCGATGCTTCTGAACCTTTCACCAGTAGATTTCTGCTCGCCATCCACAGCCAGTGCAGTCATTCGGCCGTGTGCCTCAGCCCGTCCTGCTGTATCTCGGACCTATCCCGAACAATCTGACAGAATATTCAGTCCGAGGGTGGACGTCATTGCGATGTACGCTGAGAAAGGAAGAGAAATGATGGCGAAGAGTAATCGTTACCGAGCTAAGCTCACTGATGAAAGGAAGATTCATGCGATTCGCTCGAAGTTGAAGAACAAAGTGAGATCACAGCAAAGTCTGGAGGAGGACATCAAAGCGGAACAGAGCTTTGTGGAAAGCTTAGGTTCGAGCAAATCTGCTGATCTTGCAGGTTTTAGAAGACAGTCTCAGCCCATACTGCCATCTCAAACAGAACCGGTAGGCTACTCAACGAAAACTCTTACTAAAGATTTACGGATGCTTGGGAAGAAGTTGGACGAGATCCAGCTAAAGCTCAGCCAACCTGTCGCAAGTTCCGTCGAAGACACCTCAGTCAGTGATTCACAGCATACGGAACTCATACCAGAAGAGGATATCGACGGAGAAAGTCGGTCCGAGGATGACCTGCAACCGCTGCCGTTGAACTACGAAGCGACAGCTCCCGCACAGAACCCAATGGTTGAAATGGAACGGCTCGACCTAAGTTTACTATCGCCCTCCGTGGACGTAGGAAAAAGAAGAACAGCTGAGAATCCCGAAATGCCGATAAAGAAGTCGCTTTCACAACCAGAGTGGATGAGACTTATTCCGCTTGAAGGTTCCAGTTCGAGCAGATTCCCTTTATTTCACTACAGCCCTCCTCAACCGAGAGAAGTGAAAGAATCGAAAACAGAAAGAAGCACACAGACAGGCACTTTGCAGCTACCACTGGTTGAAAAAGGTTGCCAGACAAAGGATGACGAACGGCTACCACCGGACAGTGGATTTCTTGACACTATGGAGAGGTCGCCGAGGAAGAAAGTGGAGATGATTCAACCAATGTCCAGGCAGAATATTCAAGAAATGTTGAGTCAAATGTGACTTGAACATATAGCCAGAGTCCTGACATTAGAGAGCAAGGGTCAGCATTTAAATTTTCATCGGAATTCAAATTTTGCTCATTTGATTAATTAGTGTTATAAAAGCTAGAGGTTCATAGTTAATGTAATATTGTTGTTGGTCACTCCAGTGTCTTATCGTATTTCTTTCGCTAAAGATTTATCAAATGAAGATGTTATTCGCAGGTAATTACGTACCTCATGATTCTTTTATCTAAACCTCCGCTCGTACAACATGATGTACATATCTCTTCCGAAGCAGAGTGAAGTCATTGTAGGTAAGGAAAAGTGTTTGTAAATTATCTCGAAAATCGCATAGAAGGAGCTGTTAGACGCGAGAAAAGAAAAGCTACTTGAATTGGAAAGTCGGTTACTTAAAAACTTGATAAAAGTGGGTTTTCTGTCTACCCTAATTTTACGTGTGCAAGGTTTGAGTTTGCTTCAAGATTCATCGACTCGAAAAATCTTAGAAGTATTGGGGGGACGGGACGTGGGTGTGCCCGGGGAGGCGGGCGTCAGAACAGGCAAAGATAAGTACTAAAAACTTGTGACTGAATTGAATCTATATTAATTTGTCTAATGTAAATGCAAGCAGCCACGCTAACTATATTCCAGCAATCCATCCCTCTTACATTAAGAGTAAGAGGAGACATAAGGTCTGTAGATGGAGAGCTGCTCTTAGATTATAATCAATTTAACACTGGGTGTTTTGATACTATATCCACCCTTTTTGCATTAAGAGCAAGAAGAGGCATAAGGTCTAATAGGTGGATTGTCTATAGCACATTACTTTACAGGACTACCGAAACCCAGTCAGACATGTTAAGTTGCAGACATTACCTGCCAGCCACCCTCTTGCATTAAGAGCAAGAGGAGACATAAGGTCTTTTAGTGGCATATGGCATGGAATAGCAACATTAACATGAGGCTGTACGTATAATAAATAGATATTGCTACCGGATTTTCGCAAAATAAAGTTGTTAAAGTAGTCCCTTGTTTCATTAGATTGCCGAAACTCATATATGTAACATCAAAGTAGATAACACAAATAGTAGTAATTATATAAGTAGTTAATTAAATAACTTAAACAAATAATACATTGGGAAATAATTTATCAAACAATAATTAATATATGATAGCAATCATTTTTAGATAATTACACGTATATTGTACCATCCCAGAATGGGAAAGTTATAAACACTAACTTTCGCTGTGCTATCCAACATTAAATACAAGAAAAATACATCGAATATTCGGGAGAACCCTGGCGTGGTGTTGGGCACCCACATCCGATGCAGTTTGCATCACGGGTAACGCTCCCCAGCGATGAAGAGGCTAGCCCTAGCCCTGGAGGAAATATACTCCTTCAAAAGGAAACTGCATAAGAGTTCAGGACGGATCGCCTCGAACTCGACGGATCTTAGGTCCACCAAAAATAGTAATTCAGTTCACAAGAATACGTGTTCAATGTTGTCCACGTCTAACAATGACTCTGAAAGCCACCGGTCAAAGATAGTAGATAATTCAAATTCTAGCAATTATACAGGATCAAGATGTAAGAGAAGAAAATGTCACATATGTGATAAAACTAATTTCACCAATATAGTCAAAAGTTCTGTAACAAATTACTACTATAAAAGTAATAAACCCGAAAACTGTGATTGTGATTCAAGAAATATTGTTTATATGATAACATGTCTCACATGCAAATTACAGTACATAGGAGAAACAACACAAGCATTGAGGACTAGAATCAACCAGCATCGCAACAGTTTTCGAAAAGGGAATTTAAATACTTTTATGGTGAAACATTTCCAAATGACAGGACATGATCCAGAACACATAAATATAGACATATTAGATCATGTTGGTGAAAATGATAATGTAAAGAAACTTTTGAGGGATAAAGAATTGCAGTGGATACAATATATTATTACGGCATATCTATTGAGTTTCAATGATCAAATCAAAGGATTTGGTAATATATCAGACAACGTGAATCCACTGGAGAAGAAAGAACATCCATATTTTCGTTGTCCAGTAGAGACCAGAAGATTTAGAGGAAAGAAAAGAAGATCTCGAAAGAAAAATACATGTCCTGATAGAACGGAAGAAATAGAAAATATAAACAATCTACAAAGTCATGAGCTGTTCGTATACTTTAGAACACTTAATAAGCAAGACGTAATAAGGTTGATAGATTTTGCTTTTGCCTCTGATTTTGCGTTGTTACCGTTCGAAAAGAGATTCAAGATATATGCATTGATTGCAGCGCCATTTTGGAAAAGAAAAGATAGATTAAAGACTACACAAGAAGAATTAGTTATTACAATACCTTATTTAGGTGATGTTTTGGATAGATTCAAGATTTATAAACTCTGTAATGATACAAGAACAAAAAGGATTGTAAGTGGACACATTGTACAAGATGAAGAACAAATTAACAATATTAAGATATCATTGCGATACAATTTAAGTAAACCAGTGGGTTTGGAAATGTTCAACTACAACAGCTTCCTCAAAAGACTTAACAACTATAACATGAAACTCATTGAAGAGCAAGAATATGAGTGTAGTAAATACAACGAATTCATTGATGAATATCACAAACATGTTTGCACAGGAGATCTGAATTTTATACGAAACAAGAGGTTAAGATCTATCTTTCAGAAAGGTACTAAGTACAGATCGCATGCAATTATCACAAAAGATGATATTCTGAAAGTGATAGATGAAATGGTAATACAGATAGCAACAAAGTACATCAAAAAATTTAAAGTTAACTCTTCTATCAAACTACAACTTGCTAAGGATTTGAAGGAACACTTTGTAAAGAAAGTTAAAGGTAAAATGTTTGACTTGTACAATCCAGAACAGATTGAGAACGATGATATAGACAAGAATGCTCTCAGAGTATTACAACGTCATTTCGTCATTGCTCCAATAGATAAGGCTACATCAAATTACAGTTTTACATACAAAAAATTTTATCTTCAAATGATGAGAAAAGAAATGGAACAGTCAGCTATGGACGGCTCTACATATATAAGAACTACTCTGCTAGAAATTCAAGTTCAGGAAAAACAAATAAGACTATTGAATAGCTTGAATATCAAACATGTAGAAGAGCAGAATGTTATTCCTAGAATATATGGTATTCCAAAGATGCACAAGACACCCATTAAGTTCCGGTTTATTACCGGAGCAAAGAGATCTACGCTTAAGCCCCTTTACAAGATACTGCAATTAATGCTTGCACATATTAGAAAGCATTTCATAAACTATTGTAAAGTTATTTATCAAAGAACTAGAATAAAACATTTTTGGGCTATAGAAAATAGTAATCAAGTGCTGAAAGAACTGCTGACAGCAAGTGAACAATTAGAAATATATTCAGCCGACTTTTCTAGTTTGTTCACCAATCTGCCACACAACGTGGTCAGATCTAATCTCAAAAAACTTATAAGCTTATGCATGAGAGGATATAAATATATCAGAATATATAACAATAAAGTATCGTATGTTAATGCAGATACGGCACAGGGCAGATGTTATCAACTTGAAGACATAATTTATATAATAGATTCTATACTGGAGTCTAGCTACCTGTATTTTGGTGGAGTGATATATAAACAAATAAAGGGTATACCTCAGGGAGCTTCGTGTAGCCCACAGATAGCAGACCTTACTCTAACATACATGGAATTTGAGTTCTTAAAAAGACAGACAAGAACTCTGAGTCATAGCACTAACTTGTACAATCACACTTACAGATATATAGATGACATATTACATGTCTCTAAAAATGCTTCGCATTTCGAAAGAACTATAAGAGAAATCTATCATCTTTCTTTACAATTAAAGAAAACTAACCTTAGCTTGACAAAAACAAATTTTCTAGACCTTACCCTCAAAATTTCCAATAATAAAATTGAGTTTAATATGTATAATAAGACAGATGACTATAATTTCAAAGTATTTAGATATCCACATTGGGAGTCTAATATTCCCAGATATATATTGTACAATACTTGCACTTCAGAAATTCTTAGAATGTATAGAAATTGCTCTAATTATGCACATTTTAAGGAAAGAGTATCAGAACTAGCTAAGACTCTAAAAACTAATGGATGGGAATATCGTATTTTTATTAGTAAACTTTATCATATACTATTCGATAGACCATTTATAATGCGTAAGTACGGAGTTCCTAGTAACATACATTTGCCTTTTCTACATGACCTACATGACACTTGGGCTCACGCTAGCGCGCTCTGAGGTCACGGCGGGAGTACTCCAGTTTGAAAAAGAGGTCGCTATTTCCTCGGATGACACTTGCCATTTATTTTGTCGTATACGTACATGTTAACACTTGCACCTTCTTTACTCAAGTTCTTTATACGCCATTTTCTGTTTTAATCTTATCTTAGATTTTCATTTGATAATTTTGAAGCTTCCTTGGGAACTACTGACGAGGGGCACCAAGGAAGCCGCACTACCGGTATAGTTCTAAGCCCCGAAACCGGATAGTGTAGAAAATGAACAAAAAGGAATTGAATTTCTTGCGTTCCTAATTAGTATTTATCAAATTCTTTTTCATATTAAAAACCACAAAACAAGTTGTTATGAATTAATATGCATTTTGTAGCACATCTCACTTATAAACACTGTGCAGGTTTGCAGAGAACTTCGGTTAGGTTAATTTGGAGCAAAGAGTGTTAAAATTGAGATTTCCAAGATTTGGTATCTTAATTTCAAATGCACTGATTTCTGAACGAACTCACTTCAAATTGAAAGGATGCCATGCGACCAGTAAAAAGCTTTCAGATTGTGTGAAACTCTTTGAGAAAAGAGTTTTCACTTCTGAACCAGCTTTTCTAAGACGAGATATGAAAAATCTGCATCAGTTTATTTACAGTCTGGTACTTCCATTTAAGATATTTGGTATTAGAGCTTAAATAAGGAGAACGAGAGAAAAGTGAG